TTTACATTGTGCTGCTCTATAAATAATTCATAACTGCTCATCAAGCTATTTAATTAATATCAAGTCCTTGTGCAATACAAAAAGGCAGGTATATTGCATTTTGGATAGAAAAACTGAGTCATGAAAATATTATAATTCCATCCACCCCCCTCTTCATTGTGGCACGTTTATGAGTAGAATTCAGACCTTCTGATTCCTAATCCAGTGTTTCAGCCACAAGAAAGCACTGTAGCCTTTAGAGAATTTAGCAGATGCCCAACATACGAAGAAGAAAGCAGGCTGCCATCTATAACCCGCAGCTTCACAACGTCCTCTTCCAGGCTCCTGAAAGCAACCTCCAAGTTGGACTCAGGAGCTTCAAACATCTGAAATGCATCACCCAGCAGCCAGCATAATAGGTTCGTGCTCAGTGATACATGATGTTGCCGACATTCCTCAGCCAATTAGAATTCCTTTCAGCTGCAATGGAGGTGAACACAGCTGGAATTACAGAGTGGGGTGCATCACCAGCCGCACTGATTGTACATTATTTAAGCTTTGTTTTAAAACAATAAAAGGATTTTCCCCCTTTCATCCAGAAATATGGAAACGTCATTCCACTTAGTTAAATATCTAAATGGAGTAAATTGCATCTGTAGACACAACAGTAATTCTAACATTTTAAAAAGATTTGCCTGATCTAGACGGCTAGGAGCTTTTGTTTTTCCAACATAGCTCTGCAGCTCTTCTTTGACTAGATGGCTTTAAGGACCAGTCAGCTGGAGTCAGAGCGCTGTGGACAACAAGCCAACCTAAGGTAGGGGCTTTCTCTCAATGAAACTCACTACAACGAGCCAACCTAAGGTAGGGGCTTTCTCTCAATGAAACTCACCTACAACAAGCCAACCAATAATTTAACTTGCTCAGTGACCCTAACCCCACACAATTTTAATTCTCTATTTGTTAAAAAAAATATTTAACCTCTAAAATGGTTTTGAAATCACAAAAATTTGACTCAAATAAAAATCCTAAAAGCTAGGGTTTCTCAATTAGAAAATACCAAAATTATTTCATCATGTCAGGTTTTTTGTACTTCCTTTTCAGTCTAGCATGCACTAAAATAGATAATTCAGCTATTTTAACTTTTAACCAGTGCCCGCAAATGTGTTACACAACAACCAGTCTAGTTAACTGGATCATTAAGCTGATGTTGAAATATTATGGGTCAATCTTTCTTTTTTGTATTCATGAGGAAATACTTCTTCACCAGTGACTCAGCCCCCAGAACCTCCCTGGTTCACCCAATGTTCCACACTAGAACCTGAAAATGTAACCAAACAGAGAAAATGAAAACCTGTAGAAGAGAAGGAAAACTCGAAGTTCAGACACCACTGGCATAATTGCAAAATAGAAGTTTTGAAATCTGACCAATAAATGGACTTGCAGTAAAAAATTCTACTGGGACACATCACAACTACTGCAAAAGTACAGATAGAAATAAGTACATGAGATATTTCATTTCTCAAGTCTGTAAGTTGGGTCAAGAAAATGAAAAAGGAAAAAGGAATTTATAAAAGGTTTTTCTTAAGACAACACAAATGTGATCAAATAACAAAATCAATAATAGTCCTGTATATGGCAGAATGTGACTCCTTTTAAAGTATAACTGCAGTTTAAGTTTTGCAATAGGATTTGATTTAACTCATTCCACATCCTTAAACAATTCAGCTCAAAGAAGTGCCTTGACTGTACCTCATAAACTTGAGGTCAACCTTGAGGAAAATATGTAAACTCAGGTGCAGTGCAAGGCTAAAACCTGATGGCTAGCAATTCCATCTTATCTGAGTGGCCGATGTTAAAAGTTTTGCCTGCCTTGTATAAGGGAGGTTCTTTGCTGGTACAAAGGGACAAAGGCAACACTCTTAACAGCTTTATCTTTCTTAAGAGCAATCTAACTATTTCAAATCAGTTAGGTCACCTGTTATTTATCAATTAACGTTATTAACAGTTATTACTACTATTTCTCTCCAAGCTGCATCACCCGAATGACAAACACAAGCCAGCCTTACATCACATGAGCTACAACTTAAAAAATAGCCTCCATTCCCATATGCTATCAAGGGAGGTTTCTCTCCCCACCTCTAAGTGGAATTAGAATTTTTTCTCTTCACAACACACAGTCACAATCCAAGAGATAGAAAAACACAAAGTGGTCTGAGAGTATTTCAAGGCATAAAAGCACAGAAAAGTTTAGGCATTTGGTATTTCAACTAACTGGTTAACATTAGATACAACTTAATTTGTTTGAAGAGCACTGTGGAACCCTTAGAGCTCAAAATTCCATTCTTTTACCCAAGTGGCCTAAATACCGTATTTGGGATTCATTTATGTACCACATAAGAACAAGGTTTTTGAAAATCCTGCTTGAATTTAAAATAAAAAGGTTTCCCAAGTGTTTGATTGGCCAGTGAACTCTAAAATGTCTGCAAGAGCCGAAACCGGTTTGGCTGAGTGGATAGAGCGTCGGCCTGCGGACTGAAAGGTCCCAGGTTCGATTCCGGTCAAGGGCATGTACCTTGGTTGCGGGCACATCTCCAGTAGGAGATGTGCAGGAGGCAGATGATCGATGTTTCTCTCTCATCGATGTTTCTAACTCTCTATCTCTCTCCCTTCCTCTCTGTAAAAAATCAATAAAATATATTTTAAAAAAATAAATAAAATGTCTGCAAGATAATGCTCTTTAACAAAGATCTCTCTATTTTGAAAATACTGTGCCCAAACCTACTTATACCTTTAAAAACTATTACCCTGCTAAAATACCACAAAGACATTCTTTTAAATTATATTCTTTTATATAAAAAGACTCAAACATTCTTCTAGTGTTTAGGCCAGATTTCCAAAGCAGTTCAACAGACTACCTAATAGTTTTTAAAACAAAAGGGATTCCACAGGAATTTTTTAAAAAAGAAGAAATCATAATTGTAATCAATACAAAAAAAGTAATGCTTGGCATAAATCAAACATAAGTCATGTGTTTTAACACAAATTTCTAAATATCAGGATTGAGACCTAACAGAAAACATAAACACCCAACGGTAATTTGGAATAAGCCAAATTGACAGATCCTGTAAGAAGGAGAGTCAAATAATGTTATAAATGGAGTTAAGATCTCATTTTATATATGAGGAAACTGAGACCCAGAAAGGTTACATAATTTGTTCCATATCATGCAGTTTATGGCAGGTCTGACCAAAATCAAGCCTTTTAATTCTAAATCCAATGTTCTACTCACCACCAAATATAATTGTAGACCCCAAAATTGTAAATGCTCTTTTATAACACCCATGTCTTCATATTTTGCACTGAATTACCCTGTGTGGTATTCACTAGTTAGAATAGCTCTCATTTCTAAAAGTCTCATTTCCAAGTATCACACGTGGAAATAAACTCTGAAACTTGTAACAAAAGTATACGCTCTTGAAAGATGGCTAGCCTACTTGCTAAAAGTGAAGATATTTCAAACTCCCGACAAACTTAAAGATGAGGCCAAAACCCAGCCTATCTTCAAAAAATATCTAGTTCCAACGTTTCTGCGTACATTCACATCAACAGACAACTGGCATCATGTGTGTCCACAATCATCCCTAAACTCTCAATCCTGTTGCAGCAATGACCACACTCTGTCGTGTCATTAACAACATCACCCGGGAAAAGGTGTTTTGGAAAAAACACTCATCATCTGATCCTTTACTATCAAATGAATATTAAAACTCTTTGAATAATTTTTGAAGCATTTCTACATCCATGACATCTAAATTCCTGAATCAAAAAATAATTTGGGAGGACAAACCAAGCCCTCCCTTTCACAAGGAAAAAGCCCACAGCCAACCTGCCTATTAGGATTAATACATATTATACACCTGACACAAACATTGTAATTAAAGCCTATTATTTCTAAAACATTAATCACATTTCTACCCCAAATCAGTTACTTTTGCTTTTAACAAAAAAAACCAATCTGATGGCAATTATAGATTTAATTTGTAAATGAAAACCAAATTAAAGTTGTCAGTAATTAAAGTTTTACAAGCATTACAAAGTCAAATACGTGGCTTTTATGTAACCATAAAAATAACAATGTATACACTGCATCTACAGAGTAAGAGGTGTTAAAATAAAGGATTGTTTCTCCAGAAGCAAAGATCCCTGGGCTATGCCCGTTACTTCACAAAACCAGGGTTTGGGTCTGGGTCCAAATCATCATCTGATCTGGTCATATTATCTAATCATAACCTGAGCAGGCATTTTTATACCTACAAAAAATTATGACCCTCTTCTTGAAACAAAAAATGGATCATGCAACAACGGTGGATTTTCAAAGGAAAACGATCACCCAGTGCGGTTTTCACAGATTCACCAATGATTTGGGCTATGCATCTGCCATGAAGTGTCCCGAAAATGCCCACTTGTCTCTTTGAAAGGGACTCTGACTTTGGAGTCCTCATCAGACCCGTCGCTGAAGAGAAAAATCCAGGGGAAACCCCCCTTGCAGGGATCAGCCCAAACTTTTCACTTCCTCTTCAGAGCTGGAAATATTCGCGTTTGGAAAGTCCCCCAGCAGAACGGTATTCGCAACACTACAGTCCGGCCTCCGCTAGGCACTGGGACCGGGAGCAGCCGCCCATAGCGAGGAGGCGAGGGCGAGGGGCGGAGGAGGATGGGGACCGGGC